TTACTGGGGTAGTTGGGGGAGTGGGGCATTGGATTTTACTGTCATCACTTGAAATACATTTCAATACACATTTTTCGATTTAGACGGTTGTCATGGAAATTCAGAGGTATGAGTTAACATTTGAAATACAATTCTAGCTTTTTACATTAACGTTACAATTACCATGACCGATGATGCTGTTGATAAGCGCCATATTTCAATATTGAAAGGTCTGGGGATCACATTCACCTTGGCAGAATTTTTTAATGGAAATTACAATTTCTTTTCTTTTATAAATTACTCTTTGTTACAGTAAATGAACATTGCAGCAAGACACTCCAAATAAGAAAAAGGCCAAACAAATTGAAAATCCTTTTTTTGTTGGAGATACAAGATAGTGAATATGTGCTTGGACTCATTTAAGTTTATTCTTTATTCTTGAAAATGCATTTACATTAGTGCCAATAGTTTTGTTTTATTTACTGGGTAGTATAAATTTGAATGTGAAACATCAAATATGACAAAAAAATAGAAATACAAACAATGCGTTTCTTGTAGAATTTATTATCAACAACAAAAAACCTTTGAAGAAACATGCAATAATAGTATTTGAAAGAAATTGAACTAAAAAAACTGAAGTAATGCTAAAAAGCATCTAGCTAGTGACTGATTTTACTGATGAACGACAAATTATTTGTATATAAAAGTATCTTCCATTGTATAACCATATGATCATAAAAACCTTAATAGCATCTTAATGCTGCATGTATTACAGGTAGAAAACACCGACTTCCACAACAAATTATGCCTATATTTATGTTTTTATGCTTTAAATATAAATAAATTTGATCATCTTGGTGAACACATACAAAAGCTACGTTTTTTTAAGGATCCCCGTACCAATGTCAACAACAGAAACTATAAATTACAAAACTTTTTTTTATGACTCAACGATATTCGGAATGAGATTCCTCAGTTTGGTATGAATCATTAATGCGAAGTTTTTGAACACAAAAAAAAATCAATTGCTGTTTGTGTTCAAAACAAACTCAAAGTTCAAATGGGACTTATGGGGTTAATGGGCTAACTTAAAAAATAAAATAAAAAAAATGCGTTTATAGCGATCCAATCGGTCGGATCAGTTGGACCAAGATTGTTCGTTTATGAAATAACTTCTGACCTAGAAATCTGATGCTGCTTTCAGGCGAGCCTTTGCATAAACATTCACATGTCCATCAGAAATTATACCAAAAAATGTTACATTTAAAAACAGACAAACCGGTCGTTCTGCTTAAACAACCTGGCCCCTGGTCAATAATAGTTATCTTGCTCAGTCCTACGACACTTATATTCGAAACGAAAAAAAACCTGGAGGTAACTGTATGTAGGAAAAATTACTGTGGAACTCTCTAGTGTTTTGCCTATGTTGGGACAGGGATCCTTAATCCAGACGATTGACATACTTTTTGTAAGATATTTACAACAGATAATCTCAAACTATGTGGTTTTGAATCTCAAATTATGTGGTTAAAATCTGTATTTTTTCATGGGAGACAAATGCAAGTTTTAAAATATATACATGAACTTGTTTCCATACCAATTGACTTTATTAAAAATGTCAATAAAATATATACAAATTCAAACCAATCCTTATAAAGAAAGAAATTCTAAACATATCCGGTATCTAAAATAGATTTTTTTTTTTTTACACAGTAAATTTGATAAGCTTATTACAGAACAGAGGAATACCGGGTATAGAGGCAATGTAATTAAAAAACAAACGCCCGAAAAATAAAACGCAAGTATGGCAAACAAAACAGTCATTTTAGGATACATCAAAACGGTTTAAACAAAGCCTGACACCATTGTTAACTCTGAGAAAAAAAAATAAAAAATGTGGATATCATTTTTCTTATCTTCCCTGACAATTTATTTTCTTCTTACAAAGTTTTTTTTACTATCTATTGATAATATTTATATCTTACAATCAGATCCAACTGACGTTTGTGTGTGCCCATATACACTGGACCAAACTGTCGTCATTACATTTGTACTGATGAGTACTACGATATACATGTATATCGAAATCTACATACATGTCGTAGGAGTGTTCTGAGAGATTGCATTTCAGTCGTGTTAATGTAGCCCTATGGTTTACTCATAGCCAAAAGAAAAGCTTACACAAAATCTATCGGTATGCCAATATTTGCTCGTGAATATTTCCCGCTACATAGTATTTATTGAAACGACTGAAAATTTCCCGCTACATAGTATTGCAACGACTGAAAATTTCCTGCTACAAAGTATTGCCATGTTTACAAATTTCCTGCTACAAAGTACAGTCATGACTGAAAATTTCCCGCTACATAGTACTGCAACGACTGAAAATTATACATATGGTTACATTGTTTTCACCCACTTAACCAGATGGCTAATTGACATAGTGAGACAAGAACATGGTGATCATGATTAGAAGTAAAACAAAGACCACTGATCAGGCAGAAAAAAGCCCCACTGAACTACATGTAGTACCGTCATGCTTAGCTATTCATCCCTACATTTTTAAAATGGACTTGCCCAGGCTTTGATTTGGTAAAGTTCAAATGGTACTTAAGGGTTGAATGGGTTAATTCTTTCACCCCTTCATATCTAAAATGAACTTGCCAAATTTTTGAAGGGGTGAATAGGTTAATACAGTTGTACACCAGTCAAAACTAGGATACCTATATGGTATCTGGTTATTTTCAAAGTTTTGGTTTGGTTTGTTTGGAGATTTATGCCTTGCAACAGCAAAGGTCATATGAAGAAAATTATTTAATAAAAATTCCTAATTGAGTTAAAAATAAAAAAACTAGTGTATAAAGGAAATTTTAATTCTGTTTTCTGCATTTTGTGGTCTACGATAATAGTAAGTGTGGTCTCCCCTGCACTGCTATTCATATAAATAGCAGTCAAAACCCAAAACAGAACGAAAATTATTTGAAAATTTGTTCACTATTGATAAAATGTGACATAAAAAAAATCAATTCATTTCTCAAAAAGAAAAGAAATAATTTGTTAAGACATTGTCCAAGAACTGTCTAACACTTACCATCTTAGAGTAAAAGATTACTTTTCTAAACACGCAAAAACATTAACAATAACATGTTTCCTGTGAATATTCCGGGACTATCCCATTGGTATTCAAGTGGATTTTTTTTCTTTGTTTGCAAGCAAGTGCCTGGTGTATACAAACAAAAAATAAAACATTATATAATTCATGTATTGAATCATTCAGAAAATCAATTAACAATTAAATGTCAGACAAATACTAGTTACCAATCTTTTTATGCAAGGTTCAGTGCTGTTTCTGAAGGTACACCTGAGCATTTCGTTTCACTATACAGGGACCCATGCACTAGTACTCAATTAGATACTTACCCCTCCATAATATGAGTCGTTTAAACCTACTGTAAAAGTGGAAATTGTCACGGTGTGGAAATGTTTGCATCTTTCGCGTTGAGCAAACTCAACACAAAAATACTCACGTGCGAATAATTATTTATAGATTAATAAATTTTAAATAGATATAAAATGTATAGTTTTCAGAACCATTGCCAATATTTAAATTTCTACACCACGATCAGTGTGACAAAAATTCAGAACGTAAACTTTTCCTCTTTTACAGTATTACCTGGGCAATCTACTGGAGCAGGTTCTAGCTCTCTGGTAATATTTGAACAAAATACTATAATACACAGTGAACTACGACACGCATTAAAACCACCACCTGGGACTTAAACCAGACACATCTAAAGCTCTGTTTTAAATTCACAATACTGATGCATTCATGCGATACAAATATTGATTTCAAATTCATCTTGGCAAGCAACACTGTAAAGTATTAATTAATTAAACTAGTCTTAAAAACATGAAGGAAATAATGATAAAAAAAAACTGAAAAATAAATAAATGAAAAAAAACCCCTGTTTCTACATTGTGAAAAACATTGACATTATTTTATGAAAAGTAAAGTTTTGTTGTTGATATGTAAAAGAGTAAATGGATATTGACATTAACAGATCTAACTAAATTATAACTCATTTTTACAATTTCAAAAAGTTTTCAAGCTGATTGATAATAAACAAAACAACTCAAACTGTTACAGTCACGGTAACTTCTCTGACTTGTTTGAGAAATGTTACTGGTCAAATATTCAAAACATCTTTTCACAAAAAACATATCTTCTGCATTGAAATGTCCAACAAGAATCTTTTCAAATTATACACATATATACATGTACAGCGATATCCTGAACTATCTTGCAAATTGAACACTGTTGTAGATAAAAAAAATATCTCCCTCTTACCTGTGTATGCGAGATTAGTTCTTATCATACAATAGCTGTCATATATATATTACTGTTAAAATAAAACATATTCTTCAACAATTCTGAAAATGTTTTTGGCACATCATATTTGCTAAGAAGAATAGCATGTGAGAGAAACAGACTTTCCAGAGTGAATGTTCAACCTTTTAAACTTTCTTTATGTTGAATTAAGAACCGTACCTCAGCATTGTTTAGCCTGAAAGTTTACATATTTTAAATTTCTCCAAAAATGCATAGGAAGCTTTTAAACAGTGTTTCTTTAGGGGTCCCTGTCCCAATAACAGGCAAAACACTGGAGATTGCAATTGTAGTTGTTCTTGTAAATGCAGTTACTTCTTTTTAATTTCATTGTGCATATTCTGAAGCATGATTTGGCCAAGCTGCTACCATTGATCACCAGTTAGCTCAGTTGGTTTTTCGTGAAAGTACCACAAGGTTGTAATGGTTTCTTTCCGATAATCATTTATCAAAGCTATAGGTATGCCCAAGAATTAGATTTTTAAACATTGGAACTGTGAAATTAGTCAAACCTGCTCAGGTGATCACCTTTAAGAATAATAATATTATAATAATTTGAGGTTCTTAAATACCGCTTTATCACAACCTAATTCGTAGGTCCTCTCAAAGCGGTTTACAAACTATTATCCGCAGTTATAGGGCCTTTGCAACCAGCCAATATCTTTCTCAACTCCCTCAGGGGAGCATGCAGTCGTTGCTGCCATTTCGGTGATCACTGCTATCATTCTATAATTCTAGCACTGCCCAACCATATACTCATTTACAGCTCAGTAGAATGGAACAATCATTTAAAGTATCTTGCTCAAAGATACAACACAGTGCTGTACCGTGACTCAAACCAGCAAAGTACACATTTGATGAGCAAGATCATGAAACAGTCTTAGATTTAAGTCAAATTTTTTAAAATTTTGATAATACATATTATTTCTCTGAAAACTTGCTCTACATTTGGTGATATATAGGTCATCTATATCAGTATGTACATATAAAAAAAAAAAATGAAATTCCAAAATTAAACACCATTAAAATTTGGACTAGAGTCCAATTTTGTTCATGTGCCCAGAGTCAGAAAGAAGTCCATATACAAGGTTGTGTACTGAAACTTCAAGCTGGGAAGAAAGTGTGCAAAACATAGCGAAAGGCCACAAAAATAATAAGATAGTACATCATTTTCGAGATGCCTTTTTTCTCCTGATTCGACCGGGTTTTAGATATGCATGTCATGTGATAGGGGGCTTATGCACTCCTGTAAACAGCAATAATTTGACAGCAGTTAAAACAATGCGCAAAAACACTGGTAAGCAGTTCCACTTACGTATCAGACGTTTAACTTCTAGTTAGTAAATATCCCTTTAATGAAGGAAGGGAAATTTCGGTCATTTCCATCATAATTAATTTACCAATCTTGAACTCTAACAAATTTGGCTTACTTATGAGCTACCTTCATAGTGGAAGTGTACATGCACGCCTTACTGTACCACATGACCACCAAGTCACATGACTTTTGTTCCGGAAACGTGTAGTTCGGAAACGACATATAAATTTGAGATACAATATATTACACTAAAAGATTTTGTTTCTGCTTTAGGCCTCCAGAGAAAATTCCAGGACATTTCTTCCTTATGAAAATAAACATTCAAAGCTCCAACCCAACAAAGTTTGAGTAAAAAAATGAATTATGTAAAAATGAGAATGAATGATATGGACAAATGGCCGTCACATGGATGACAACTATACAATTTGGTATCTGTAAATGCTGATGAGTGACACATGGGTCAAAGGTCATGTATAAAAGCTTAGAAATATAAACAAATCATTCCATAAATACAATTTCATTAAGACGAATCAGAAAGAGCAACAGATCTCGATATTCCATGTGTGAAAGCCTTGTTAAATCAATGCACATTTCCTCCGGAATTTTAAATAACTTCCACCTTTGCCTTTGTGTGACGAAACAGCAATCTTTCTTTCACTTATTTTTCCTGTTAATGAAGGCTGTTGACCATAATTAAATCCCTTCTGACATCCCATAATTCCATTCATCACAAGCACAGGAAACAATCGTCATCAAGCTCTGGCCAGGAACATTCCAAAATAACTTTTACACAAATTTATTTTTATGATCTTTGAAAATGACAAAGGCATATTCAAGACCTTGATTTTTATACCTAAATTTTACAACAGCCTGTTTCTACATAAATTGGATAAAAATACAGCATAAATCTTATTGAAATTAGGAAGATATTCCTCATGTTTTCATCATTTTTGGAAAATAAAGATTTTTTTTGCTAGGGAAAGCAGTATTGTATTTGGTTGTAAAACTAGGAAAGAATCAGTGTAAGGCCAATTTATTTCTGTAGTGTTTCTATAAAAAAATATTTGTTTTGAGTTTAAAATATTTATATATAAGCAATGTTTTTATGTTTTTTTCAACTTAGTTAACTATGATTCTTACTATTTTAATCTTCACAAGCCTCCGGTATTTCCAGAGTTACCGCCCTTGAAAAGTTACGGAGCCATGGACTGATGACTAGACTTTTCGTTGACCTATTTTCCTGTTGCTAAGCAGCACACGATGAATCCTCTGACGATTTCTCAGTCTGAAAACCTGAACACACACTGAAGTCTGTGGAACAGCAAGATTATCATTCTACACATATACATATATCTCATTTCAAGCAAACATGTTGCTAAGGCAGAGCGTTGAGCCACGTGTCTCTTCCAGTTTATCATCTACAAGCATTCATTCCACACCTTGCCCTTAGAGACTGTGCTGATTGGTCAAAAGTTGGCTATGTCCCTTGACCCTGCCCACTGGCCCCAGGCGGTTCCTTTTGTGGGGGTTTTGTTTTACTGTCGGAAGAATCTGCCAAAAAAAATAGAAAAAGTTTTATTAAGAGGCCCAATGGAATTAACAGTCACTCGAGTCTTAATAGGAGCTAAATTAGCTGCTATTGGAATAAACAAAATACATCATTAAACCTTTATAACAGCATGTCTGATTGGATTATACTGATCACATTGCTCTCTAAAAATATGCCAATAGGTGGCGCTATTGGTGGTATTTGCATGTATAAATGGGCTAGGTTGTTATCTATACGTGTCATTCAGGCGACACAGGTTGAGGTATTTATTATTGAGAGAAATAGGTTAGGAGATATATGATTGAGTGTTAGAGGTATCTTATTAGGGCTTTTCACCATCTGGTGCAAAGCCTAATTGGAATTGTAACGTTTCTTCTTCTTATTATTATTATTCTTCTGGGTAATTTTGTGGAGTCTTAATCTCTTGAACGGTAGCAGATATGATCATTGTCTATATAGTACAATATAGACCAAAGTATAAAGGTGTAAAGTCCAATATGGCTGCCATGACGTAATACCTCAAAACCTTTAAAATTGCCATAACTCAAAAACTGTTGATTTTACAGCTTTCATGCTATAATATCATTTGTAGATTATCTTTGGGGCTAACTTTTTCTTATGACATGTTAATACAAAAAAGGTCAAATAAAAATCCTCGTTATCGGGGGTCAATTTTTTCGGAAATTTCTTTAAAAAATAGAGACGAATAATTATTCCATCCTGATGAATTTGGTGTATTCAGTTTTTCTGTTAAACTAACTGTTAACATCTCACGCCATTTTGAATATTTCCTCTGATCTTATAAAGGTTTCCTTGGAAGTCCCACCTAACTTGTTAACATTTTTGACTTTTTATAAAAAAACTAAATGGCCGCCATGACGTCATATCTGTTTTTACCTTAAATGTAATAACTCATTAATTGCTGAAGGTATTAAGTTCATCATTAAATATGTTTTGTAAATAAAAAAAATAACTTTTGTTTTACTCAGGAAATATTTTTGTGTCTAAAGTCAACTTTCGGTTTTCGGTAGGGGTCAAATTTCAAATGCACTATATTGGGCAACAAACTTTAAAAATCTTCTTCTTAGGTTCCACGAGGTCTAGAGTCTTGATATTTGATTTAAGATGCTGAGATGTTCAGCTTTCAGGTTTACAACACTTATCACTTATTGACCTTAATCAACCAATATGGTCACAAAGGTCAAATGTATATATAAAAAAAAAAAAATTTAATCAAGAATATTTCGAAAGTTTTCTGATATTTTTACTTAATATTCAGGTATGATTTGGACGACAACAATGTGCATATATTTTGCAGGAAATATCTTAAGTTGACCAAGTCAAGTTTCGAGTTATTTAGAGGTCAAATTTCATGTATTCTATTTCAGAGTAACAACTTAAACAAGAGGCCCATGGGCCTAAACGGTCACCTGAGTCTACAGTATTTATTTTTGTTGTTGAAATATGTACCAATTTGAGTAAAAAATAGTATAATGTTAACTTAACTTTGTCAGGACCATGAGCTGATCATTCCTAGACCAATTTTAAGTGAGATCGGCCTATTAGAACTTAGTAGCAAAATAGC